GTGTGTATGTATGTGTGTGTGTGTATGTGTGTGTGTGTGTGTAAGAGGAAAGGAGACAATGTTAGATGATGATGACGGTTAGAAGATTATGTATCTTACAGTGTAATAACTTATTTCTGCCCCCCCCTCCACCCCTCACCCTTCCGCCCACACCCCACCCAACCTCCAACACCTCACCCACTTTGTCTTTTCAAACTGCAGAACGGGATGAGGAAGCAAAGATTTCAGCGAATGGTAAGTATCACGTGTTTTGATAGTTTACTATAGTGGAGTAGAAACTACGGATAGACTCATTAGTGAGTTGTTGTTTTTTCTGTTAGTAGAGTTTTTACGGCGCTCACAACTGCATACGGTCATATGAGCGCCAATGGGTGGGTGTCAACAGAGAAGTTAATACAGGAAATCAGGCTTACTCTGCTCACCTCTCTAGCTTCAACAACACAAAGTCTGCTTCGACTATCAAGGCACCCCTGGAAATAGCGGGTCACAAGAGTGTGACAAATATACAAAAGAAGTAGAGGGAAAATGACCATAGTAAGGATTAGGAAAGAAAAAGCAGCAGTTCCCTGTTGCAGTTCAGGCACAGTTATGAGCATGACATTGATGAACCGCCCCATTTACAATTCTACTGGGCAGGAACGAGAAATCCCCCCCCCTCTTGGGAATGGCCTAAAGACAACTTCAGTCAGTAGCGCCGCCCTAGGGGTGATTCGTGGGTCGATGAGAATACTTCTTTGACTTTTTTAGTCACAAAGTATGGTAGTTCGCCGTTGGCCAGTAGTAGTCATCGACACATACCTAACACCCACACTCATAATATGACATTATGCAGTTATGAGCGCCGTAAAACCTTACTATTGTGAGGTCAAAAATTCGTGACACAACTTATCCTCAAATATCTTTATAACGGGTGAATCAATGTCACCCATACTTTGCACAGCAGTTTGTCTCAATTTGTCTCAACTTAACAGTTTGTCTCAATTTGTCTTAACTTAATCATATTTTTTCACAATTGAGGCTAGACTAAAAAAACAAACTTTTCTGCATAGATCTAAAAGTATATACAAATCCACAAACCTCCTTCAAGTGGAAAATAGAATTGTTCACAACACTTCCCGCTACTCACACATATTTTGTATACACATATGGGTTACGTCACAGCTAACCAGTTACCCTTTTTTTGTAAGAGTTTTTCGGCACTTGCAACACAATAAGGTCATGTAAGTGCCGAAGATTAGAGGTGTTACAAGAGAGTAACAGACATAAAAAAGAAGGAGGAGAGATAAAGACGATATTTGTTTGATAGGAAAGAAGGAGCAAACCACACCAGAGCACCCGTCAACCACCCACTGACACTTAATAAATGCAAAGCTAGTTACAAGAAATTGATTTTATAGTGAACATTTTTTTTGCACTAAAATAAAGATAATCTCGCTATGAGAAAAAACAATGACGGACTTGCTTTTAAAAGTGATATCGTCCCAGCTGTAAACCTTTTAAAATCAGTAGAAACCACCCTCTTGGATTTTAATATACATGTTATTATGGTTTTATTTTTCTGTTTCACAGATTGATGGAATGAGACGTGAATTGGAGAGTCTGGTAACAACTTTGGTTTAACTCTACCATTGATGTACACTATAGGTTTAAAAGGGGGTTACTATATGAACTATACACACCCACCTCTTGTAATGATCCAACTTGCACTGACTGTCCTGTCACAACTCTTCTCTTGCCCCCTCGACTGCCACTCACCACACTCAGGAGTTCTTGTCTTCCACAGTCCATGGCTCACGCCTCGGCCATATCCTTGCTTCTCTTCTTCAATCTCAAATAGGTACTCGAGTACTTTCCCGAAATAAACCAACTCACCACAATAACTTTCGGCACTACGCTACTTTAGATTTACAAAGTTCTATCTGGCATTTTTTGGGCGTTTTGAGTTATTGAGGACAGAAATCAAATGTTCTATCTGCTCTATCAAAATTGTAAGATTATTCGGAGCCGTTATCAAGATATAAAATTCAAAGAATTGTATTCGAAAAGGCTTGACATGATGTAAAACTCACTTTTCTATGTGCCCTTTTCTCGAGCACACATATTATATGACCGTGATACATAGACAGAATATTTATTTATTATTTATCTATTTATTTATTTGTTTGTCTATCTATCTATCTATCTATCTATCTATCTATCTATCTATCTATCTATCTATCTATCTATCTATCTATCTATCTATCTATTCACATGTGTGTATATTTGTAGTGTATGTTTGTGTGTCCGTGTGTAAACTGAAATAGAAGAATACTATCGAGAAAGATGAATTGAGGGAGGGGGGGGGGGACAGATTAAAAAACAACGATTGAGACAGACAGACAGACAGACAGACAGACAGACAGACAGACACACACACACACAGAGAGAGAGAGAGAGAGAGAGAGAGAGAGAGAGAGAGAGAGAGAGAGACAGAGAGAGACAGACAGACAGACAGACAGACAGAGACAGAGACAGAGACAGACAGAGACAGAGACAGAGACAGAGACAGAGATAGCGAAAAAGAGAGAACAAAATCAAAAAAGACAAAAGTTCATATCCCCTGCAACGTACATCATTCCATGTGTGTTCTCACAGCGCGCCAACCAAACCGCCTGAACCAGATTCGAGGACCCAGAAAACCAGGTAAGACATAAGAACATAGATCTAACCCTAACATTAAAACTTCGCAACGGTTTTAACCTCAATCGGATCATCATGCACACTTCTTTTTTTTTTCTTTTCTTTTCTTTTTTTGAAAAAAGTGTTTCATGACTCTCGCTACTGGATAAGGTCCTATGAGCCCGTGAAACACACCAAACATGTCATTGTTCAATTGGTAGGTAATTCTAGCATCTGCGTTTGTCACGGCCGCGACCCGCGAATGTTGTGTATGATCGAGTATGTATTGTGTGTGTGCGAGGAAGGGGGGGGGGGTGTTTGTTTTCGCATGCACGTGTGTATAATTGTTTGTATGTGTGAATTGAAAAGGACGATCATTACGCAGCATGAGAAAATGAATAGAAACAAATAAATAGATACATAAATAAATAAATAGATCGATAGATGGATAAGATGTAGATAGATAGATAGATAGATTGATAGATAGATAGATAGATAGATAGATAAAATAAGTAAACAAATAAGCATTTACTAATACACAACGAAACAACAATAATATTTGAACACTAATAATGCCCAATAAAATTATCTTTTCAGGAATAGCCGGAGATCCCTTGACAGTGAGAAAGCAAGCAGTCGCTGTGAACTGAGTCAGATCGACAAAGAAGGAGAAATGGATGAAAGAACCAACAACAGTGTGCTCTTTGTTACTTTCCTCTTACAAAGGATGCTTGTAGATGAACTATAAACTCGCTGTTTCTCTTGTTTTTATTCCACGTTAAAATAATCTTATTTAATTTTCTATTGATCAATTTTCTAAAATGATTGAAATGTTATCTTTTGCCCCAAAAATTGCCTTACAATATTTATTCTTCTCCTCCTTCAATAAAAACTTGAAATATTCCTTTCCTAGTAGCGTGCCCTTTTATCGTTACCTGTTTGCCTAAATCAATGTGATTGTTTGAGTTTGTTTGAGCAAAGAGAATCTCATCAACAACAACAACAAAATGTGTCATTTAGGGCTGAGAAAAAGTAAGACACGACATAGACAAAAACAACAGAACGAAAGAAAAGACGTAGGACCTACCAGCAGCTCCCTCCAATCACTTGCAAATCAGAGGGAAAATAAGAACGGGAAAGTTTGTGACGTTTTTTCTTTTTCTTTTTTTTTTCTTTGAGTAAAAAGGTCATCGACACAATAACGGTCATTTAGTGCTGGGGGAAAAGTCAGACAGACAGACGGACGGAAACAACAGAGGGAAAGTAGAGAAGTAGGACCTAACTGAGGCGCCCTCTCACCGCCTGCAGTAAGAGTTTAACGGTACCTATAAGACAATTAGGTCTTAGAAGTGACGTAGATTAAAGGAGCGACAAAGCAGTAACATACAAAGAAAGGAAAGAGGAGAGATACGAACAACAAATATTTGACAAGAAAGAAGGAGCCCATTTGTCAAAAGCCCCAATATATTATATAGACTTCTTCATGGGCTTTAACTTTAGGTATAATAAAATACAGTATAAAGAGAGGAAGAGGCAGACAGAGGGAAAAGATACTGAACAAGTTGACAACATGGCTGGGAGCAGCAAGAACGACAGACACCATTGCTGCAATGCAAGACAGTGAAGTGGAGTTCCATGATCGCCTACGCCAGTCGGCCAGGCACCGGATGATGATGACGATGATGATGATGATGATGATAATGATGATGATGATGATGATGATGATGATGATAACACGAATAGCTTGAACTGTCCGGACCAGACTCGATAGTTCGAGGGATGTCTTACAAAAGGGAAAAGAAGAAAAAAAAACACGGACCTCAGGCACAGTTCAACAGACGTGTGATTTCGAGTCTTCTGTGTTCGACCCAAGTTTTAGTAAGAATTTTATGGCACTTGCAACACAATAAGGTCATATAAGTGCCGAAGATTAGAGGTGTTTCAAGGGAGTAACAAACAAAAAAGAAAGAGGACAGATCAGGATGATAGATGCTTGATTGGAAAGAAGGAGCAAACCACACCAGAACACCCGCCAACCACCCACGTTCAACCTATCCGTAGTGTAATACTGTAGTACATGTACAACATAAATAATGACAATATTGATAACTGCAAAAAGACAAGCCAACGAAGTCTCCTCTAAATTCTTTATTCTCATTGTAATAACAAAATCTCCGATAGAACTCACCACACAAGGTAGTGCATGGTCCTGTAATTTTCAGTAGCAAAACTCTCCCTCACATTTAAACACAAAAACAAAAACAGGTACATTCATACGAACAAACGCAAACAACTTATGACAAATTGGCAAGCATATAGCCAAGGGGTAATTGTTGTACTGAATGGGTTTATCACTCGCTTTCCACAGGGGGGGGG